GTCACTCGCTCAAAAGTTTTATAATTAGGTACTGTCTATTGAATTAGCTTAATTTTTTTTTTGTCTTATTTATGTCAATAGTGGAACAAGAATATAAATCTCTGTCTTTTAAATGTATTGTCTTACAGTTTACTTGTATCAATTGAAATAATTTACAATTAAAAAAATATTATATTCTACAATGCATTATCAGCTTTTAAAATGTTTTTATATATTATAGTTAAATTTAATCCATAAAGACATTTTAATTTTGTTTAAAAATAGTGTTATACAATAAAATGGCTACTATAACAATGTGTTTAAGTGAACAAATATAATTTGTACATACAGAAATCTGCGAAGTAGAAATACTTTTTAAATATTGTTTTAAATGAAGGTTTCTCTACTCTAATTATATCATATTCAAGTAAAGAAAATTGTAAATGTAAATTTAGATCAGGTAGTGAATATTTATTGAGAAATTGATGTCTACCAAAAATTATATTACAATCATTGGAAATTATTAATTAAGCAATTATTAGTACCTAATCACAATACATAAAAATGTATTTATTCAAATTAGGTAGGTACTTTATTTTGAATAATCATAATAATAATAATAATCAATAATCACGATTGTGTGCGTGTGTTTATATACTATATTATTTCCCCATACGACTGCCTAAGGAATGTCTGCTGATTCTAGCATTAAGACCGGACAACCAGCTCGTATGAATAAAACACACGACACACAAGTCAGTCTTGGTTTTACAGAACATTCGAGTTTTGTCATACAGAGTGTTTCAGAGCATTTTAACATCAAAATTATAGTGAATCATTAAAGTGAATTTATATTTCTTCTTATTTGTAACTGGGCACACGAGTATGTTCATAATAACATGCACAGGTAACGCAACAGAAATACGACGTGTGCACGAACCGCAGCGCATTGGCGCGTACCGATGGCGTGGCCTTGCGACCGGTGCCGCAACTAGGATTTGGTGCCTAGGTAAGCCCTATGACTATTCAAGTATTGGCAAATTATTTGTTTTATCATTAAAGACAGCTTACTAACAACAAATTGTCACTGTAATTCTTTCGCGTAAAAAATACCCTCCAAGTTTATGTCTACGATCACGGCCCCCTTTGAGTCTTGGGCCTCTGATGTCTATCCCGATTGTAGCTCCACTGCTTGCGAGTCCGTTCGCGCTGCGTTCCGTGCTGTTAATTTTTATTAAACTCAGACGTTGTTACCATGACCACCGTGTGATGATCGTTGTCGCGGTGTAAATCGAAATCGTCATAGGACTATAAAATTGCGGTCCGAGTGTCCGCAGGCGCACATCACTGCCGTTGGAACAAGTATCAGGAGGGGGAGGATAGGGTTGGCTCATGTCCCCGCCGTGATCGATGCACGGAATGAAATGTGTTGTACGGCGTAATAGCGATGCAGGGGTGTTCAGAGTTTGTATAGAAATCGGAAGAGGATGTCCGCGGACTCTAATGTTTTTCCTATAGAAGAAGGGCGTTTTGAACACGCACATTTCGGGCGGGACGTTTTCCCCGACTCGCATTACCGAGCGCTAGGGAACGCGTACCCTTGTCTGTTGCTGTAATATACGATTGTGTACGCGATGAACGATTTCAATAAAAATAATGACATGATTTAGGCTGTACAATCGAACCGATTTTGATATTATTATTATGAAATATTTCTATAACACTCCCGGGGCAAGTGTACATTTTTGCGAATCGTAAGAATTATTGATATTATAATGGTGGATTTGTATACGTTGAATGATGGTTTATTATGTGTATTGTTCACTTTACTACCAAGAATGTAATATAAAATCTAGAAAATAATCGTGTTTGTATAAAATTTATATAATTATACATTAAACGGTTCCGGTTCATTTATACGGTCTTCAAGAGTTTGATTTTTTTCCCATAGACGTATGGATATTAAATTAAACTTAATAATGTACCTACCATGCAAAGAGAATTAAAAAAAATAATCTAAAAGCATAAAGGGAATTTTGCACAGTTTTTAGTCATAAGAAGATTATCTTGGCAAATTAAATCGTAAGCGAAGTAGAAATATTTTTGTTGAAAAAAAAAAAATTAAAACAGAACCAATCTGAACGTATGAAAACGTATATCATATAACTACATCGTACACGACGTTCTTTCCGCATTAATGGTTTTAAATCGCGTTTGTGAACAGTTTAATGTAACATAATTTATGTTAACTTTAATACGTCTGATATGAAGGAGATAAAACATAACATATTAAACGGCTCAATGTTTTTAAGTTTTCTGTCATAATAATCTGTATTTAGTTATTACGTATAATTGGAATAATGTCGATTTATATACGAATAAGTATTACATGGTTGAACAGTAGACACTAAAGAACACGAAACGATAAGTTTATCTTAGGTTTACGAAAAGAAAAATAAATGTTGGAAAATATTTAAATAATTTGTTAGGTAGTATAAACTTTGTTTTCTCCATCACAAGGACCATTAGAGTTAATCCTAAATCTTGTCCAGAATAGGAAAAGAGAATTATTAAAATTCATTAAATTAAATGAAACCGTTAAATCATTTATGTACGCGGCGTTGAAAAATGTACGAAATAACTCTGAGCTACTAGGTTTTCATTCGAGGTTCCAAGATTTCCGTCGAATTTTTCCAATTACGAGTTTATATGGGACAATGCGTTAGAACGACTTCTAACCGCATATTTTTTCCCGTTGTGAATTCGTGTTAGAAATTAATCGACTTCGACAAATGAAAACAGGATGAGAAAAACAACAGCCCTGGGGCATACGTATAAAACATTCGACGTTGGCCAACCATCTGCTTTGTGTTCACGCATTCATTTTATCACTAATTCTGTTGCTGTTGCATTTACCGTTTACACGTTGCAAATGCATCGTATCTTATTGCACGGTGCAATCAGTGACCGGATGGACTGTTTTACATACATTGACCGCTGTGTACAGAGCTTGGAGTGAAGTTAAGTGGAAATGACAGTTAGGAAAATCAATTAAATATCCCATCGTTGTATTAAGGACTGCAGAAACATTTACGCGTCACGGGCAGGTCATTTGAAATGTTCGTACGAGACATTTGCGATTTGCTTACGAAGCAGGATTAAAATCATATTGAACTGCAAAAGTGTGTATAATTTTTTATACCTTTTTTTTTTTTTTTTTTGCAGAGAAGAGATTCAGAACGTGATCAACGTGATCAGTAGGGATCGGATTTTAAAGCATAATAACATAATAATTGACAAAAAGAATCATATAATTATTTGAAAAAAGCAAACAAAAGCATATTTATTTTTATAAAAAATTGAACTTAAATTAGATATGAAATTAATAGAAAAATTGAAAATTATTTTAAATTAAAAAATTAATTACTGTAATGTATATAGTAACATTTTCATCAATGAAACTGTTTTTTCGATTATTAGAGAAAATGTTTTTACCATACATATCGAAAACAAACACTCTATATATAGATAAATTAAAAATTAGTAAATGAATGATTCTCGTAAATTAATATATAAATGAATAAAAAATAGTTTATATATAGAAATAAATAAATTAGTAATTAAATAAATGCTTAGTCTGAAATATTATTATATTTATAAAGTACAACATGTTTTGAATTAAAAATGCATCGTCAGGTATATCAATATGCAAATTGTATATGGTTTTATATTACAAATATAATAATACTTCAGGCTAGGCATTTATTTATTTATTTATATGATAACATTACGATTAAACAAACGTTTAATACATTTAATAATTAAACCAATAAATGGAAACAAAAATAACTTGATAACCGTGTTTTGTGTTTGACATAGACTGAAAACTGTACCTATTGTCATACATAAATAAGAAGAGTATTTTTATATTCATTATCAATTAAATTTAATTGTTTTCATTAGTATAGCACAATAAACATATTAAAATTCCATAGCTGGAATAATTGTACAAAAGTAATAAAAAAAGCAATTAAAATAATTTACATAAAATAAAGCCGAAAAAAATAATAGGTTTATTTAGAATCTGACTGTCATGAGGCGAATTTATGTATAAAAATTATACTTCCATCTTATATATTAAAAAATAACCATAAGTCAAACCCTAGTGATCAAGAATCGTTAATTTTTGGTTAAAACGTTTTTCATTTTGCCCTTAGTGTTATTTGTAAGGTTTGGAATACAATTGAACTCATTCTTTGTATACGTTTCCTCATTTTTAATATTTTTTTTTTATTATATCATCGAAAGCCAGGAGGGGGGTTAGGGGTTTAATTGTTTAAGGTTCAGAGCTCCCCCTGAATTTTTTTCTTAAAATAAAAATGCTTATTACATTTAAAATTTTAAAATTTGCTGGTCAAAAAACATGTTTATACTCTTATTTTTTCCTTCAAAAAAATATTTTGATGGCATGGCCTTGATATCATCATATAATACGAAATTTAAATAGAAATGCGTTATTGGTTTTTTTTCTGCCTATGATTTATTTTTCAGTATTGTAATTCTACTACGGTATTCAAATATCATAAATTATTATTTCCTTGAGTATCGCGGTACACTTTATCTTGTAAAAAATAAAATAAAAATGTCACGAAGAAAATTGTTTGCACTATTGTAAATTGCGAGTAAAAATGGAAAAATAATATTCCTCGTTGAACTTCATACGATGATGTTACTCGTTGAAAACGACTGAGTGTCGTTTAATTCGTAGTTAGGGTCGTATTTCCAGTCGATTACAAATAAAATTCGAATTTCGAAAATCAAACTCTAGACAGAATTATGATCGCTAAGATACATTGCGCACGTGATCTCAACCAACCAATTCTTAACTACGCGTTATAATTTGCTAAACAATTCTTACGACACATCGGTAATCAATGTTCAACGCGGTAATTATGATTTAAACGGTTTCAGAACTATGTACACTATGTACAGTACATTTATCATATCCACACACTACTCACCGTAAACTCTTAGCGTGCCTTCGGAGTTCCCAATGGAGTTCGTTGATATGCAATTGTACGTCCCTACGTCTGATTGGTCGAAAAGCTTTATGATGATGTAGTAGGCCGCTTTATAGCCGGATATCGTCTCTCGGAGAATGTGTTTAGGCCTGCGGAGGATAAAAAAAAAAAAACAGATAATATTATCATTGCAAACTTTGTCATATTTTCAGATGGTGTATTGCGTAGGCGAAGGAAATTCCGAATACAATAAAGTTACACACATTATGGTTATTTTTTCCGGAACACAAAACTCATTTATCATAATACTTATTGTTAAACGAAACAGGATCATTTCAAATTATTGAATTCTTAAGCAACAATACTGACGCATATTTCTTATAAAAATACAGTAACCCATACCATTTTAGGGAACTAAGTGAGTACCGATAAATTATTAATAATAATAATAATTATGACGTTTGGCATGTGTTCGTTTTTTTCGCATATATATATTACCACAAAACCGCGTAGAAAGTCGTCAAAACTCCGTTCGAAACACGATCGTACGTACACTGTAGCGTTTACGAGTTGATATATTTTAATCTTACTCAATCTCTCGTGTTCCACAAGCTATAGTTGACACGACAGAATAAGCTGTGTGCTAAACGGTGGAGTTATTATGTTAACGGTCATTAAAACATAACGATTAATTTTCTTAACTGACAAGATGCTAATACGGAAAGGAAGAGATGGAGAATGAATAACAATATAGCGTATCGTTTTCGATTCATCTCTATCCAGAAAGTTTTTACATCGTTGCGATGAACGCGGTTATACTGCGAGAAACGTTTTTGAACGTTAATTTTAATAATATTTTTGACGATTAGAATCGAACAACGGCGGTCAGGTATCGCGTTTCGTTTACATAGTAATACAAAATTGATAGTATTGTTAATGTGCAAAAAAAAAAAATAGTATTTTGAGCCGTGGAAAATTTGGTAGATTTTGTAACGGATTCCCCGTAGAAACAAATTGGAGACCCTGGGTTCTATAACGGCGATCCAAGACAATCGAATGGTTCGCGATGTCGCAGATCCATCGTTTAGTTTCGCAGTCGAAATGGTCCGAGGCGGAACAAGAGTACCGGACGGTCCACGCGTATAAGTTCGATCGGGATGGCACTGTAACGGTAGAACAAAGACTTCATCGTGGTCGATATAAGAAAACGCATTTCAACAACGTTTGTAGCTTCATGTGATGCCGTTTATACCGTATAGTGGCAGGAGTCGGTCCTTTGCGATATCGCGTCACAGGACCGTGAATCGGAGCTAAAGACGAAAGAGAACTGTGGCTTTCGGGAGGATTAAAGGTGCACACTGAAAAAACGGTGGATAAGACGTCGGTTGCTTACGCTTTTGCAGTGACAGTTTAAGATAGCTTAACAGTTTGGAAATCATCCAGACATTGGTCTCTTAAAAGTATTTATCATAGAAGGAAACCCAGAAAGAGGATTAATCGTGTATTCCGTTCGTGGTTTTTTATTTAAGTATAATGTATTGATTAGATGACGTTTCGTAGTGTTAAGAGTGCTATTTATTCGAATATCGTTCATGTTAATTTGTAAATATTATTTAAAACAAATTAAATCATCCAAGACAAAAAATATGCAAGACTTGGAGAAAAAAAAATCACTAGAAACGGAATAAAATGCTAAAAAAAGTCTGATCAATTACACGGCTCGCGTACAACGATTCGAAATACCGACTGAAATCGAATACAGAAATGTTATACTTACTGAAAATTAGATTTAGTATTTTTATTCAAAATCAAAACAATATATTTTAATGAAGCCACATGGAGCTAGTTAATAAACAAAAAGATTTGTTTTTAGAAATAATCATTACTTACTATTTGTTATTCGAATATTATACGTGGAACTCTAAAGATTAGAACGTGATTACCTACCCCCACAGAGAATAAATTTGAAAAAGAAATGCTCAATCCTGAATATATTTCTAATATCGAGTTCTTAATTCTGAACAATCGTAAAAAGGATTTAAGCGGTTATCCAACTATATATCTTGTATCTCGGAAGTTTGGTTATAACTTCTGCGACAAATTGCGCACACATTTGGAGGTTAATAAATAGCTATAAATTATCCAATAATGTACAGACATTTTATTACCTGTTCCAATACCTTTTACTTATGTTTTGATTTATTTATAACGATTGTACTTTATGAAAAAAAAAAAACTAAAAATACTACTTGCTGTAACTTTACGTGGTCATTTTTTTTTTATCAATTTCATCGAGTGATATATTCGAGGACATTTAAAATCTACCGGTTATTTTTATTTTGATGTGTTTTGCGACGCGAGCGCAAGGATGCTATAGAAAATCATTCGAAGTACCGAATCCTCGTAAATAATTCTTAAAAAAATATCCTTTTCTTACCTTTTTTTTTTAAATATTTATGGGAACGAACTTACGTAGAATTATCAGATAACTCTTGAAAATATATTTATTTTTCTTTTTCAAGCTAAAAGAAAATTGTTTGATCATCGTTAGGTTTCAGTTTCCCTTTAATCTTTATTTTATCCTTTAAATGTAATACTAAATAATAATTCTGTTTAGAACTTTATAGAAAACATATAGAGTATAGTTTCTGCTTTTATAATTGTTTTACACTTAGATTAGATTTTAAAGCTTTTATGACGTAGTCGGGAACTTTTCACGTATAGTTTTGACGCATCAAATTATATGACGTATAATAACTCACCACTCAACTAAATAACTTTTTGTTAATATACGTATATGAAATTATTTAATGGTTTTACAGGAGGGGGACTGATATTAGTATCTATTTACCGAGCTCCAGATATTGTTACCTAATTAACGGTCGTCTTTAATATCTTTTCTGTACATATGGTGTTCAACTAAAAGATAAACAACCATTGTGTGATGTGAATTAATTCATATCCGACTAAACCGATTCAGATTACGTCATTAGAGTAGTAATATTTTACCCGAGTGTTGAGGGTTTCTTATACGATATTGTTAATGACCACAGGAAATCACGAATTTTAATCTACTTAGACGCGTGCAGTGTGAAATGCGACGACCGATGGGCATAAAAACCATGGAGAACATGATAACCGGAAAAACAGCGGACCATATGCATATTATCCGGCAGAGCGTGTGCACATACACTTGAGCTGGTACGATCGAGTTATTTCCATTCGGCGCAGAAACACTGCAGAAACGAGCTGCGTCGTCGTCGGTGCAGTACGTGCAAATACTGAACGGCTACTATTACTTGCTGGCTGGCACGGAAGAATTGCAATGGACAGTAACGGGAATCGTTCGCCTTACGGACGATTTTCAACTCGCATCGAGAATCCCGCGTGGCACGAGCCTGCAGCCGTACTGTATTGTTTCGGGTCTGAACATTATAGGTATGTGCCGAGGAAAAATAAAGCGGCGCGAGTCTCGTTGGGATTTTAGATTGGTCGACATAATATCAAAAAAAAAAAAAAAAAATAAATAAAAAAATAAATGAAAAATAAACTTACAGCAGAACTCCGGACCCCGACAATGTTCGCGAATGAAACGTTATCGCGGGGATTACCAAGGTTAATTGGAAAAGGTTATTAAGTTATGAATTTTTTTTTTTTCAGTACGGATTTCGCTCCTCGACATAACTGATTTCGAAGTACTACGGACTGTAATAATTCATTTTTTTTATTCGGTTAAGACCTCCGCCGTTGATATTAACTTATTAGCGCGTAAAACAGGATTTAAATGCAAGCACAGAAGGCGGCGGCGGCTGGCGGGTGTCCGTATCATATCCGGTACTTTACCTAACTCACGCGCGCGTCAGTTGTACGCGCACAGCTTGCACAATAATAATAATAACAATAATTACATTACATATGTGTCTGAGCGTCATTCACGGATTACCAACTGCAGAATGCGTTGATTACTATCGTTGTCGATTTTTTTTGTTGTTATTTTCTCCTAGTGGTCCGTTATAGTATGCTCAGTGTTTTCAAACGATCCTGGAACAGGACGAGGGATACGATAATGTGTATTATAGTTAATTTTTTTATTCGACCCATTTTCGCGCCTAATCAGGTACAATGATGATACACATCGCGTGTTGATGCCTCTGATATTGAATTGCCGAGGTAAGATTTCACTGTTGCAAACGTGGAATACGGTCCGAGAATCTGCGGTGGCGCGTGCGTGGCAATAACATTTGTAACAATTAGAAGTAGATACAAGATTAGTGTGCTGACTAAAAATTAATCCAATTGCACCGTCGTTCGTGTCATACGGTTTTATTGTTTTTGAAAATAATATTTTCCAAACAGCCTCGGTACGTAAACAAACAAAAACAAAGCAGCGTACAGACGTACTACGAGTTCAGTTCCTCGCCAGTCGATCGGTTTCTGAAAAACATTTCTTTCGCTCGGATCTGTCATTGTAGCGTGTCACATCATACCAAATTCATAAGAATATTACTAATTGCGTACTTTTATTACTCAATTCGTATTTTCGTGTACAATAATTCCGCACAAATTAAATGTCAGAGCAATAGGATTTTTTTTAACCCTTTTGACCATATTTTTAAAACTATTGCAGTCAATGGTTCACATTTTTGTTTATAACGTTTATAATTTTCAACCATAACAATGAATGAACAACATCTAATTGCAGTGTTGGGAATAGATAATGCAAAATTTATCTAGATAAAGATAAAAGATAATATGTCCAAATTGATCTAGATAAAGATAATAGATAAAAAAAAGATATTTTCAAAAAATGTTATTTCTTGGTCAATATTTCATATTCTAATAATATAGATGAAGACTCAATTATAATCAGAGGCGTATTTAGGAATGTCTTATGGGGGGGGGGGGGCACAAACAAAAAGTTCAAAATATACATAGTTATAACTTTTCCATCTTAAAAAACTTTCGTAATTCATAACCAAATAATCAAAATACAAGTGTTTGTTAGAAACATAAACTTTTATTACACAAATTTATAATAAAACATATTTTTAAATATAATTTTTGTAATTACAATAACTGAAGACGTCTAGGTTGTTTATTAGCATATGCATCAATTAATTCTTCAGGTTTTATAATTATTTCAGGGTGTATATAATGCTAATCCGTTTAATCGATGGTATCATATTATCATGATATATTGATATTCCAGTATTTCACCATGTGCCCATGCGTGAAAAATAAGAGGGCCTACAATAATAAATAAAGTATAAAATACGGTAAATGGGGTCACAGGCCCCATAGGCCTATTCCATAGGCCTTCCGGAAAAATAGTAGTGACTCAAACTATGACTCCGTCTTTATCACATTCAAATAAAATTACGAAAAATATACCACCAATGAACCAGAATTCGAACCTCACCCTCATATAAATCTCTTAAATATGCCTTTTAGCATCTCAGAAATGTTGGACGCTATGTCAAACTGTAATTCCAAAAGTCCTGGTCCAGACGATATTCCATTCTGTTTCATCAAAAACCTTCCTAGCAACAGTATGAATCAACTACTACAAATATATAACCTCATTTGGGAAAAAGGATTTTACTCAGATTCATGGCGCAAAGCGATAATCATTCCAATCCCCAAACCAGATAAAAACAGATTTAATAAAACCAATTACAGACCTATATCTCTCATAAGCACACTAAGCAAACTTTTGGAAAAAATGGTAAACAAACGACTAATATGGCACATCGAAGTAACTAAACACCTACTAAACAACCAATGTGGTTGTTTTCGTCGCAACCACTCTACCCTAGACCACATAGTAAGCTTACACACGGACATCTGTAACGCAATGAATACCAAACAACACCTTATTCTCATCGCACTCGACCTCAAAAGAGCCTATGATATGGTGTGGCGCAACAGAGTACTTCCAATTATTCAAAAATGGGGTATAACTGGAAAGATCTTCACGTTTCTCAATAATTTTCTCACGAATCGCTCAATACAAGTAAAAGCTCATAACCATCTATCTAACGCACATCCCACTAAAAACGGACTTCCCCAAGGATCGGTTCTCAGTGTAACCTTGTTCCTCATAACAATACACGACATATTCAATCAAATTCAAAAACCCACCAAACATATAATTTTCGCTGACGACTGCTACATTTATTGCAGTGGAAGTAACATCAACACCACCCTGGAAATCCTCAATAAATCACTTCACTCCTCACAAGAATGGGCCAATAAATCCGGATTCATTTTTTCCCCCTCCAAAAGTAAATGTATCAAATACAACCACAATTCAGACACCATCCAGAAACTTTACCTTAATGACATTCAAATCCCTTTTCACAACTCAATCTGAATATTTGGAATGATATTTGATCGCAAATTAAACTGGACTATGCATCTAAAACATCTAAAAACAGTATGTAAGGCCAAGCTGAACATTATCAAAACCCTCGCCAACCATACATGGAGAGCAGACAAAACATCTTTGCTCAACATATATAAATCATTAATTCTATCAAAAATTAACTACGGATCCCAAGTCTACAAAACAGCTAAATCTAGACACCTCAAAATTTTAGATCCTATAAACCATGAGGGAATACACCTTTCCAAAGGCGCCTTTAGAACAAGCCCCACAGAAAGTATTCTATGCTACGCGGGAGAGATGCCTCTCCAATTCATATGAGACAAAAACACGCTATTATTCTGCATAAAAAGGAAAACTACTCCTGATCATATAAGTCATACAGATCTCTTCAAAAACAAAAACTCAATCATCAACCGCAACGGCACAAAAAATTTCACAACAATACAGGACAACTACTCCAGGCTATGCACTATAATGAATATTCATACCTCGGTCGAAGAAAAAAATCATCTTTCAAAAAACTCCTCCATGGCTATGGAACCTAACACCCTCAACAGAATTACTCTTTCTCAACAAACAAGATACTAACCACAAAATAATAATATCCCATTCCTATGACATTACCCGAAACAGATTCCTTACCCATTCTCAAATCTACACTGACGCTTCAAAATCTAATTATGGAGTTGGCTTCTCAATTGTGCACAATTAAAAAATCATACAACACAAACTCCCGGCAATTACAAACATATTTACCACTGAAAACTTTGCAATTCATGAAGCAATAAAATTAGTAAACTCACTTCCAGCAAACAATTTTTTTGATTATAAGTGATTCTCTCAGTGTCCTAACAGCCCTAAAAAACCCATAGCCAAAAAACGAAATCACCCAATCAACTCAATCGGAACTAATAAACACCAAAAAAAAATATCGACTTCATGTGGGTACCTTCCCACGTAGGCATAAAAGAAAATGAAATGGCCGACGAAGCAGCTTCCTTAGCTTGTCAAAACGTTCATGACATCATCACCATTGATAAAATATCTTCCAACGACATTTTTACATCAATTAGACACAAAACCATCAAGTCATGGCAACTCACCTGGGACTCCATTCCCCCAACAAACAAACTAAGGCACATAAAAAAATTCAATTACACAATGGTATACTCCCTTGAACCTCAGCCGACGTCAAAATATTGCCATCACTCGTATTAGAATCGGCCACACGTTTCTAACACACTCTTTTCTTATCAGTAAAGACCAACCCCCTATATGCAGCACATGCCAAACTCGCATCACTAAAAGACATATTTTCGAAGAATGCCCAATATACGAGCCAACTCGCACACTCCTCAACCAAGTTCCAACACCAAAGAAGTCCTTAATGAAGAATCTACCCAAAAAATCATCCAGTTCATCACCAAAGACAATCTTATTAATAAAATATAAATCAAGCTCATATACAATTATAAACTTACTTTAGTAAACTTTAATTAAATATCTTGTTCGATCGGGTAGAACACTTGACTGGTCACCTCACACTTAAAAACTATTAAATGATTATAACAAGGTTGGTTTTAATCCAAAGTAATTATATAATAATTCATCATAATTCAACACATTGGACATAAGATCGGGCGCCCGGAATAATAATAATATAAACATAAATACATAGATATAAAATGTAATACAGCCATTCACGGTAGTGTACTCAATCCCATCGACGACAGTGCAGCCAATTTCCTGCTGCCGAGAGCGGGCAGGCACTCCACGAACAACGATGTATCGTACGAACGGCGATGCAATGACGACGGTGTAAAACACGCTCGGCGGTACAACGCACAACGGCGCAATGGCGACCGGCGGCAAACACGCACGACGACGAAAGGAAACGGGCGACCGGTGGTAACGCACACGATGACACCGCAAAATCACGCGGAAGGTAGAAAATGGCATGAATCAACAAAGGCGCACAAGCGTGAACGAAACAAAGTAAAAACAGGACACACGTTACGATAGATCGGCGATATGCCGGCATCGGAGGTGAACATACGACGACGACTGCGGGGGTCCGTAAAAGAATACGGACGGTGACGACGTCGGGGCTCGCTGTCGGTCGCGGTTATCGCGGGGAAAACCGCAGATAAGGTCGACAATATTATATTTAGACAACCAGCTCGAACATACCCCCCCCCCATTGAAGAGTAGTGGTCCAGCCTTCCATGGTCGGTGAAGGGGTGGTTGTCAGTATCGGTATTACACAAAAAAAAAAAATAACAACCAACAAATGACACGGTCCGAACCGTTATCAAATGGAAATTAATAATATTAAACATAAGAAAAATAAAAAAAAATACATGTTATTTTATACAATTTACATTATAGTTACCAAAGAACAATGGTAATAGGGGAAGGTGGGATCATCTCAGTTGCAGTACGTCAGATTTGTTGGGTGGGTAACACAATCACCTTGATTACCGGACGTGTCACTAGGCCACGAGACGTTAAGATCTGGATTACGAGCACGATGCCGTCAGGCCCCGGGATTACTTCGGTCACACGGCCGAATCGCCACTCCAACGGCGGTACTAAAGGATCGCGCAAAAGTACCATGTCATTAACCCGAACATTGGGACGGTTGTCCGTCCATTTTGTGGGCTCCTGGTGAGTGTGTAAATATTCAGTGGTCCACCTATGCTAAAAGGCCTGATGGCATTGATCAAGTAGCTTCCATCTGTTGGCAATAGATCGCTCCAGGTCACCGGACGAGCGCGGAGGTACAGCAAGCAATGGCTGGCCGATCCGAAAATGACCTGGTGTAATGCACTCCAGATCATGAGGGTCCGAGGAAGTCGGAGTGAGGGGACGAGAATTCAGGACCACCTCAATCCTATACAAACCGTTGAAAACTCTTCATACAAGAAGGTGTGAGGTCCTATTATACGTGATAGTAACCGCTTCGCGGACCGGACTGCAGCTTCCCACAGACCTCCGAAATGGGGCGCCACGGGTGGGTTGAAATGCCACGCACAACCGGTTGAACTCGCGGTAATTGTTTGTTGCAACGAGGGACTATTGATTAATTGACGCAACTCACGGGCAGCGCCAACAAAATTTGTGCCACAATCCGAAAAGACGTCATTGGGGTGACCTCGCCTCGCAATGAACCGATCAAACGCGGCCATAAACGCTGCAGTGAAAAGTTCCGAGACAAGCTCTAAATGGACTGCTTTTACGGCCATGCATATAAAAACGGCTACGTATACCTTAAACTCTCGTGACCTACGCAACCGCAACTCGCGCATTTCTAATGGACCAGCGTAATCAATGCCAACTCGTGTAAAGGGACGACATTGCGACACACGAGCCGACGGTAGGTCCGCCATCAAGGGCTGTGGGTTACGACCATCAAAACGCATGCAAATAGTACATTGGCTTATAACTGAGTGTATCACCGAGCGAAGGGACATCAACCAGAACTGCCGGCCAATAAGCGAGGACATAACTCGGGGCCCGGAATGACAACTAATTCTGTGCCAACGGCGACACACTAGCACCGATAAATGAGAACTTTTGGCCACCAAAATAGGGTGTTCAACCGTGAAAGGCAACGCAGAATGTTTTAACCGACCCCCTACACGAATTACGTTTTTATCGTCAACGAATGGACAGAGGCGAGCTAACGGTTTAGACGACACACGCAAATTTCGCTCGAGTTCAATACGTAACTCGGAAAACAACAGTTTCTGTGAGCTCAACACGACTATGCGTAAAGCATCGTCGATTTCATCTAATGTAATCAACCCGGTCAGTTCAACAGGACGGCGGCGACATTTTAGAGTGAAACGAAGCATCTGAACGATTACACTGAACATCCGATCGTAGGATGAAAACCGCGAAAACCACTTTACAAGAGGGTCGTTGCGTTGTACGGCAAGACTAACAGGACGCACTTCCGGCAATTCTGAATGTGATATTCGAACACAGTCATCACCGTACGGGCGCGAAAAACGATTGGCCGCCGTCTGTTCC